AAGGGAGGAACTAACGTTTAAGTGACAATATCGTAATAGAATGCTCACCCTGGGAAGATAAATACAGCACACAGTGTGATAAATATGCTTCAAGGGTGCCTGAAGGACTGCTTTGACAGTCACCTCTACATGATGAGATTTCAATGAGTTTCTTCATTCTTTTTTATAATAAACATGTACTAGTTTAGTAACAGAAAAATAAAGCTATTCTTACTTTGAAAAATAATGAACAGAAAAGGTAAAAAAAAAAAAAATCTAATCTGAAGAGGAAATGAAAGGCCAGTGCTAATAAATGAAGGATTCCAGCAGGGTCTCTGTCAAACAGATTACTTGACCGTTCTTCTTTGTTCTTCTTTTTTCAAGGCACACAGCAGATCTGGTCCCTGAGGCAGATGTCCTGAGTAAAGAGTACCTACTAAGTTCACAGGCTTACCACCAGGAAGTAATGGAAACAGCAAGCACTGCACAGGCAGAATCCCTTAGGAAATGGACAAGTCGCTAGCCCAGCTGGGGCGCAGGCCAGGGCCGCATCTATTCTGAGGTCGGACATATGGTCAGAAAAGGCCAGCCTGGCAGGTGTGATGGTGCATGCCTGTAATCTTAGTACTCTGGGAGGCTGAGGCAGGAAGTTCACAAATTGGAGCCCAGTCTGGTCATTTTAGTAATTTAGCGAGAAGCGCAAAACAATAAACAAGGCAAGATCTAGCAAGAATAAAAAGAAACAAAACAAAACAAACAAACAAAAAAAGCCAGCCTAAACTATGAAATGCCTCCTTGAGCTGATGCTAGCAAACAGAAGGGCAGAAAGACAGCAAGTAGTGAGCTTTGAGGGTTTACAGGTCAGGTATTCCAAGGGTGCTTTTTTTTTTTTTTTTTTTTTCCTTTTTTTTTTTTTTTTTTTTTTTTTTTTTTTTTTCTTTTCAAAGTTTTATTGATAAACATATAGCAATGAGACAGTTTCAAATCAAATCGAAAGTACAGTTTCAACAAATAATACACTGCATACATTCTTCTCAGTGGTTAATTGCTGTACAAGATGCAGACTTGTGATCCTACTTACAAACACCATTAGAAAAAATCATTCTATTCATTAAGAGTCTTTCTTTTTTCTTGACACAAGGTCTGACTCTGTAGTCTAGGCTATTCTTTGAGAAAAACTCATGCCTCTGCCTCCCAAGTGCTGGGTTTACATATCCATACCACCACGCCTGGCCTTTCAAGCATCCCAAGAGAAACCCTTCAAGGTAGAAATTGCCAATCTCTTTTTACAGAGGGAAGAAACAAACAAAAAGCCAAGAAGACAAGCAGGTTTCCCAAGACAAGTACACATCACCACAGAACAGTCTTTTTCTTTTCCAAATGTGTATTTGCAGAATTACATGTGAAGCTCTTTAAAAGTATACATTCCTAGGAAGACATACAGAATCAAAAATACAAGAGCAAGGCCCAGGAATTCAGGTAACATTCTCCCCGGGTGACTGTTGTGGCTGGCCTTCTACCAGGTAGAAGAGCCAGTTGGTCACCTTATGTCTTGCTTCAAACCCGTCCGCCTTGCTCTGATCTCTTCCCTACTGACTGCCCATCCTGCCCATGTTCCAGTCTAACTCCCTAACATGATGTTTCTACGGTGTGCAGGGGCCTTTGGAGCCTACCAAACCCTTTACGCTAACTACCCACCCCTAATCCTCTCTCCTAAATGCTGGCCAAACCCTTTACGCTAACTACCCACCCCTAATCCTCTCTCCTAAATGCTGGTAAATGTACTTCCTTATCTCTCTCCTCACCCGGCACAGCTCAGGATGTCATCAATTACTGGCTGGAGTTCTGCAGCAGCTTCCCTGGTCACCTTGCCTCTACTCTTGCTCCCTGCAATCTATTTCTATTCTTTTATGTATTTGGTACAGGGTCTCACTAAACGCTCCAAGTCGAAGTGATCCTGTTTTCAGCCTCCTTAGAGCTCGTTATTACAGGTGTGTGCCACAGTGCACCCAGGGGCAGGGCCAGCGTGGCATGTGGTTCTGGGGATCGAACCGTCCCTGTGCTTACCTAAGCAGGCGCTTAGTCCACTGAGCTATCTCGCCACCCCTGCAATTTTTTTTTTTTAAATTTTATGTATCTAGTACAGGTTCTACAGGGTCTCACTGCATAGATTGGTACTCATAGTGGTTCTCTTGTTTTCAGCCTCCCAAGTGCTGGGATTAAAGGGGCATGCCACCATGCCCAGTCTCAATCACTGTCTCAGTGTACCCCAGGAGCAGGGCCAGCATGGCACAACCCCAGCCACTGCACTCTGCCTAGGCAGGCCTTTTAGTCCCCTGAGCTATCTGGCCAGACTTCCCTACAATGTTTTCTATAATGCCACCATAGTCATTTTCATAAACTCAGTATCTGAAACAATTTCAGATAATCTCATATGATTGCCTCACTACCTGAAAAAAAATATTTTTTTTTTCCAATAAAATTACTGTTAGGATGCGTGCTCAAGAGGCTGAGGTAGGATGATGATTTCTGTGAATTCAAAGCTAACCTGGGCTATGTAGTGAGTCCAGGCTAGCCTGAACTACATGGCGAGACACTGCCTAAAAATAAAAAGAAAAAAAAAAAAGAGAGAAGAAAAAATAATTACTGTATGACAATCTCCTGGGAAGCATTTAAAAAATTCCTGGCCCCTATCACATACTCATTGATTAATCTCTGGGAGTGGGACTTCAGGTACCTGTATTTTTATAAGCTCCTCAAGTAAGCAAGATACTATGGCAGGGCTGGCCAGATAGCTTAGTGGATTAAAGCACCTGCTTAGACAGACACAGGGACTGGGGTTCAATCCCAGGTATGTTGTGCCAGCCCCAACCCCAGGGACACTGAGACTGTGAATGAGGTTAGGTGTGGTAGCCATAATCCCAGCATTTGGTAGGCTGAAAACAGGAGGATCACTCTAAGTCCCATCTGTGGAGTGAGACCCTGTAGACCCTGCTAAATGCATTGAAAAACAAAAACAAAAAAAAAAAAAACTATGGCAGATTATTATTTGACAACGATTTACCTCATCTCTCAGAATTCCATGAATATACAGTATTTGTCTGCACTAAGATTAGGTTTAACCCATGCAACTTGCTTTCAAATGTGACAAGAACAAATACTTAAAATGTGTTTGACCACAGGCTGGGGAGCTAGGTTAGAGATCTTTAGTTCCCACTGGTCTTTTTTTTTTCTTTAATTTTTTCTGCATCTAGGACAGGGTCTGCAGGGTCTACAGGGTCTCATTATGTAGATCGGACTTGTAGTAACTCCTGTTTTCAGCCTTCCAAGTGTTGGGATTACAGGCGTGCAACACCATGCCCAGTCTCAATCACTGTCTCAGTGCGCCCCGGGGCCTCCTGGGACCAGCACGGCAAGCAGGGAGGGATTAAACCCCAGTCCCTGTGCTCTGCCTAAGCAGGTGCTTTAGTCCCCTAAACTATCAGGCCGGCCGGCCCCCCATTGGTCATTTTAAATCCACAGATTTGACTGTGACAAGTGGCCACTAAACAAATGAGCAATTCCTGTGCTGTTTATCTCTAAGTAGCTCTGGCTCAAGGGGCTTTGTGGCTACCTTCTCAGGATCCTTCCTGGAAATCCATGAGCTATTCTTATTTCCAATAAAAACTCTCCTAATCTCAAGAAAAAAAAAAAAAGTCCATCTTGAGCGGTTGGACTTAACTGCCAAGAAAAATGCCCCAGGAAACATGGCTGGAAAACTGAAAGAGATATAAAGCAGACTTGAAGCCAATCCAAGTTCTGGAGCCAAGCTCACTGAGAACACAGCCTAGAACAGTTATACCCCAGTGGTCCACAGAAAAGAAACTAAGAAATAAAGTCTGATACTAGAAATCATCCAGTTTTGGAGTAGTTATTTATGCAACTACTTCGGGGTAACATACAGATGCACAGTGTTAAGGTTTTTAATCTAAAGTCCCCCCAAGCCTCATACAACCACAGGCAGGAATTCTGGAAGGTGACTGGATCAGGGGGTGCTATACTCACTGGTGGATTCGCCCACTGATGAGTTTACATCTATTAGAAAAGTGAGTCTGGTTGGAAGAGGTGGGTCTCTGCCATTTCCCTCTGCCACACTGTCTGTCCTGTGTTGGAGCATGCCAACTATGACTGAAACTTAAGCCAAAATAAACCTCTCCTCCCTTAAACTGCAGGTGTCAGATATTTTCCGAGAAATGAGGAAAGTGACTAAGACACATACGCACAGCCAATATGGGAACCTTCAGATATGTGAAAGTTCAAATGCCTCAACCTGGAATGTAAGACCTTCCACAGACTGGCCAGCCTCCCTTCTCTACTCATTACTTAGTCTCCTACGTTTGATCCCTACTAATTAAGTGAACAACTTTCTTTTCATACCACATGTACCTTTGTGCATACTGTTCTAAATGTTTCCTCTTGTCTCTTACTATTTTACTCCATGGGCTCCTTTAAGATTTGTTCAAGTTCCACTACTCAGATCACTGAAAAGGTAAACATACTTCTTAGCAACACAAAACCACAGAGCAGAGCATAAGCAAACGAGTTCTGAGATCAGACTGCCCATGACTGGATCCTGTTTCTACCACTTACCAGCAGTGTGACTTGGGCAAGTTACTAAACTTCTTTGAACGTCATTGTCCTCCCTACCTCTCTCTCACAGTTTTGTTCTGGTAGTGCTGAGAATCACACCAAAGGCCTTGTGCAAGCTAGGCAAGCATCCTACCAAAGGAATGGCGGGGATAAACGAAATAATACAAAATGTAAAATCTGGCATATCACAGAATATACAATAACACCCTATCCTCTTTTACAGATTCCTCCAGGGTACAGCACATGGCTAGACCCACAGTACAAAGTTGGTCAATATTGATTATGTGGATGAAAAAATTAGTTTAAATTCCGTTTAACTATTTATACTTCAGATATGAACAAAGGATCCTCTAGGTCAGATACATAAGTGCTACATTTGTTGGCAATAATACCTGTTTCTCTATGAGTCGAATGGTATCCTCTGAAGTCTTATCCTTTGACTTCTTCAGCTTATTCATTGCATCAGTACGAACTCTCCGTAAAGAGTCTTTGGCCTTGTTGGTGTTCTGTTTGGCCAGTTTCACCAGCATCTCCCTGTGCTCCCTGGTTACTCTAATAAAAGACAGAAAGAAAAAGAAAAGAAAACTAAAATCATTCTATACATTAACCTTTATCTAACAACTTAAACCTACTCTGTCGTCTAGCTCAGCAATCTGTAACTCTACTTTGTCAACTGAGGATCTTCATGTTTCTGACACCTTCACGGCCATAGACATCCTCAGAGTCTGATACCATTCCAGGAGAGCTAGATGAGGAGAGCTGGTAAGAGTATTGCTTTGCAGCACGAGCCAGGACTGTAGGCAGATGTGGGACCAAATTGTTATCATGCATTCAGGACCTTATGTGATGCATTCAGGACCTCTTTTCTTTAGAGTTCCCTTTTGCCTAAAAGGGACACAAGGGGTGCTATAAAGACTACATAAGATGATGGACATGAATTGTTGAGTACTAGCCTTGGCATGTCAGTTGTAACTCTACCTCTTGCCCACTAAAGAAAGCAATGTAAGTTGACTGATGATGCTACAAAAATATTATCTTTAAATTTGCAAATTGTCTAAAACAAGTAAGTAGCAGCCCTCTATAGTCTTCATAATCCATCAGCTCAGGTCCCAGTATGGCTATCGTGAACAGTATCTAGTATGTTGCATGAGCCAGAAATAAACTTCTCTGGAAAAGCCACAGAGATCTGGGGGTTGCCTTTTACTGCAGAATAGCCCACCACATCTTCGCTACGATCACTACCTCACGAGGATCTGAGGAGTTAAATCCAAATCAGGTAAAGAAAGGGAGGATTTCCAGGAGGAGGACTGGGCATATACAAAGAAATGAAGCTGCAGAGACCATGATTCATTAAGGGAACTGGCTGGAATACAGAAAGGAATGATAAGAGAAAAACTTGGGTAGTCATATTATGGAGGGTCATAAAAGATCATGAACTCCACTGTATAGAACAAGAAAATGAGGCCCAAAGAAGGTGGATATCTTACTCATAGTCAGACCCAGGTTGGCCTGTCTCAAAAGCCAATGATATTAGTATAACAAAATTCCTCTGCCCTGAAGTGGTCATCACTGGCACATGCTTCCTGACTCACGTCAACATTTTTCTTGCCAAATAAAGACAATCCCAAGTTCTGGGCACATGTTCAGTGTGGAATAGTGATGAGTAGCTTCTAAACACTCAGTAACATCTATCTGGTGTTTCCTCTGATGAGAAAAAATATTTAAGAATTTTGAGAAAAAGTTTAAGACAAAGTAGACAGCTATGATATAAATAAATCCTGGATTCTGCTCCTTGGAAGTATTCTCAAAACAAAAATGATCTTGACTACCGTTATTAAATCCATCTATGTCAGGTGAGTACTTTTAAGTATACTAGCTCGAGGGGGCTGGGGAGATGGCTCAGTAGGATAAGCGCTTGACTGGCAAATGCAAGGATCTGAGTTCAATCCCTGGTTCTGCCAAAAAAAAAAAAAAAATAAAAAAATAAAAAATAATAATAATAATAATTAAGTATACTAGCTCGTGGATTTTCATAACAATGCTTCAAATTAGGTACTAGTACTCCCTCTTCTAATGAGAAAATTAAGACTCATAGATGAGTGACTTACCCTGGACTTGAGTGACAGAACTGGAATTCAAGTCCAATTCTTCCTGTATGCTGCTTAACCTTATAATCTATTCCAAATAAATCATGTACTTATGCTTCCAGGCAGAAAACTGCTCAAACTCAGTAATATGAATCCTGGGACCAGAAAGGACAAAACCACCATGTCAGGACTTCAGGGATTTGGAGCAGATCTTGTTACTCTTATGGCTTTTAATTCATTGAATAAAAATCATGCTGACATGTTTAGGTCTCTTTTTTGTTCTGCCAAAGCATATGTCAGTATAAGGAAGGAACAGGAAAATTAAAACTTGATCCACTGATTCAAAAACTTAATCCTGCTGAAATACTAGGAGGTAGAAAATAAATGAATCTAAGACTGTAAAAAATCTCTCAAACTTCTCTAAAAAAAGACCTCAATGAAGTATTTCAATCTATTTCAATCTTATATTTCATATATAATCTGAAATAAGATATCCCACTGTTTAGGAAAAAACCTAATAAAATTTATCTAATCTACTTTACACTACCTTGTTATATTAATATTTTAAGTGGAAGAAAAACATACATTTTTAAAGTATAAATTATAATTCAAAAAATGTTAAAAGGCTTTATTTAAAAACCAAAATAATCATGTGTAATTTGGCCTTAATAAAATGTATTTGTATTTATTAAGGCAAATGTGACATTACTATGTTATTAATATCAGTTTCTAAATGTAACAGTGTACAATCATTGATATCTCAAAAATATTTCCATTTTGGGATGCAAATACAAAATCAGTTTCTAAATAAAAACTATAAAAAGATGAAGACTGTGAGCCGGCCAAATAGCTCAGCAGACTAAAGCACCTGCAAGCAGGCAAAGGGGTCAGGGGTTCAATCCCTGGGGCCTGCCTTGCCAGTCCCACCCCCAGGATGCACTGAGACAACAATTAAGACTGGGCATGGTGGTGCGCGCCTGTAATCTCAGCTCTTGGGAGGCTGTAAACAGGCGGATCATCAATGGAATAGATTAGAAGATGCCTCTATGATCACACTCAGTCACCTGATCTTCGACAAAGGGGCCAAACACACTTACTGGAAGAAAGATAGCCTCTTTAACAAATGGTGCTGGAGAAACTGGCTCTCTACATGCCAAAAACTAAAACTTGGCCTAGGTCTATCACCATGCACTAAGCTAAAGTCAAAGTGGATTAAAGATCTAAACATTAAAACAGAAACACTAAATCTCCTGGAAGAGAAAGTAGGAGGAACTCTTGAAGATATAGGGATAGGCAAAGAGTTCATGAACAAAAAATAATGGGTAATACCTGAAAGAATTAACAACTGGGACCTCCTCTTGAGAAGTTTTGCACGTCAAAAGAAATTACCAACAAAGTGAAAAGACAACCCACAAATTGAGAAAAAATATTGACTAATAAGCACTCAAAGGTCTGCTCTCTAGAATTTATAAAGAACTAAGAAACATTAGGGCCCCAAAATTTAAATACTCAATTCAGAAATGAGCATCCAAGATGAACACACTTCTCAGAGGACGAAATTAAAGAAGCAAATAAATATATGAAAAAATGTTCCACATCACTAGCCATCCATGAAATGCAAATTAAAACAACACTGAGATACCATCTCACCCCACAAAGAATGGCTATCATAAAGAAATCAACCAACAACAAATGTTGGAGAGGCTGTGGGGAAAAAGGAACCCACTGCTGGTGGGAATGTAGACTCGTGCAACCATTATGGAAATCAGTGTGGAGACTCCTTAAAAAACTAGGACTGAAAAATCCCATTCAAGCCAGCTAGCCCCCTACTGGGAATTTTCCTGGAGGAACTGAAAATGTCATATCATAGTAATATATGTGTACCTATGTTTATAGCAGCACAATTTTTGTGATAGCCAAATCCTGGAAACAACCAAGATGCCTGTCATCTAAAGAATGGATGAAAAACATATGGTATTTTTATACAATAGGGTATTACTCAGCTATAAAGAATGATAAACTTGAAGCATTTATATTTAAGTGGATGCCACTTGAAGATATAGTCATAAGTGAAATAAGCCACACTCACATGTGTAAATATCATATAGTCTTCCTAGTATAAGAACTTAAAAGATGAAATACAAATAGAAAGGTATAACACAATTAAAAGGAAAGTGAGAACTTGAGGACTAGACAACGAGGAGAGGGCAAGGAGAAAAGCTGGGAAAAATGACAGAGGCAAAGCCATACATTTATATGCACAAGACAGGTAAGGCAATGATCCTGAGAAACATCAGCAGGTTTTCGAAACTAGCAGTTAATTGGTAGGATTCTCACCCTGACTGAGTATGTATGCTGATACCTGTGCACTAAGCAACTGCACTGAAGAAAGCAATATGTAATAGAAGGGTCACACTTGGAATGCCTGTCATTCTGGTCTTCTAAATACGTACTGCTTGTCATGACATACCAATTACTGCTATACTGTCTCTTCTCAAGTAAATTTTTTTTTTTTTTAAATAGGATAATAAATGAAAAAAAGAGACAGGAAAAAGGAAAAAAAAGTCACAGAACTGTCCTGCTACAATGCTGTATATGGTTAGATTTCTAAAATTCTTTGTAAAAATATGTAATTGTTTATTCATATTTTTAAAGTATTTATTTTTTAAATTTTTTTCTCCATATTCTGTAGAGACTTAAAGTTTAACATATCAATACTAGATGGAAAATACCTGTTCCATGTTATACCTACGATGTTTGATATTCAGACAGATAGTGAGATTAAACCCAATTGCGTATGTTGTAGGATAATAATAAGCTTCTCTTCTGGAGGGTTAACAACCTAAGTTTGCAGACCAAAAATTAGAGAAAAAGAAGGGCTGCAAGGACAGCCAATATTTTGGTCCTAGCCTTTCAAGGTCAGTGAAGACTCAGGACATAGGTGAACCTATACTGTAACATGATGTAACTCAGTTGTGTCCCAAATTTTCTGATCAAGGAGATTATGGGGCCACAGAGCATGTGACTGATGACATAGAGTGTGCCTAAGGAGAGTCACTCGGAGAGAAAACATTCTCTCAGGCTCTCACAAACAGCAAATTGGTCAAGCAATGGCTGTGACTCATCCACATGGCTGACACTGACAAAGGATCTGCAAACTGCAGTACAGGATAACAGGATAAATCCTGAGGGGACTTGACTGACCTTATCAGATACAAAAGATACATTTCTTGTTATATAGTTCTTGCTTTATCTTGGTCTTAACAATCCAGCAGAAAAGTATAAAAAACAAGGTATAAAAAGTAAAGCCATATTAATATGCTGAGCTGTGAAAGGCTCAAGTCAACAACTTCTGACATTGCCAGTCCTATGGATAACCCACTATTATTATGGACTACTAGACTATATTGGATTATTTTGCTGAGTTCATGCACCTACAATATTTAAATGGCAAGGGAATACCCA